TGACACCACCTCCAAACATTAATTTAAAAACCTTACTACTTGATGAAAACCATAACCATAGGCAAGAAACCCACATTTAAAATCAAAATGAATTAAACCCCGAACTTGAAACCCCAACTTGAAACCATAATGGCGGACTCCCGAAACCCCAACCATGGCTTGAAGCCCTCATTTGACACCATAATCATTTGTGTGAAACGCTAACCCAAGCTTGTCATAGACTTTTAAAACCACCCGAATTTGAAGCCCTACCCTTGCCTTCCACATGACCCCACAAGACAACTTTCAACCTAATTTGAAACCAGTTCCCCTTCAAAAGCAACCACTTGTTTACATTTGCTGCCCGTCCCTCTTCCCAAACACGTGCACGCGCTCCACTATGTAACAGGAAGTCTCCGTGAGGGTCACGCGCATCTCACACACACACTCCTTCTTCCTCGAGCAGTCCCGTGCGCGCGCACACGCACGCGGCGGGAGCGGCCCAGTCTGCAGCAGACCAGTTTGAACCAGCCCGAGCAGCCTCTCGCCGACCGAGCCAGGCCCCGCCCCCCGCATCGGCAGCTCGCCCCGCCATTGGCTGCGAGCTGGTAGTGCTCGTTCGTGATTGGTGCAGAGCCTTCACGAGCTCCCCCCCCCCACCTCAGGGCCATGTGGCACGAGAAGGAGGAACCCTTGAGTGAACTTAACTCGCTGCCAAAGTGTCACGCAAGGACGTCCGCTGATAACGCGACACACACAAAAAAAAAAAAACACCTCAAAAAAGTTTTCAAGAAGAACAAGTGAAGACATTGGAACCATACCCTTGCAGGTTTGCCTCCAAAATACGACAAGAAACGCTCAAAATGTAGCGAACAAGTGTCATGAGCAAAACAGCCCCCGCGATTGTCTTTGTTTTTCATCCGAACAGCCGTTGCTCTCCCATGTCGTCAGCCTCCAAAACGTCGATACGACACGGGCCAGAAACAAGGCCAGGCTTGTTTGGTATGAAATATTCCAACACTCGACTCGACATTCTTATTTTTTTTTTGTCGCGTTTTCTCAGTCTGCCGCTTCTGTTGCACGACACTTGTCAACAGGAGGGTGCAAATAATGCCGAGGACATTTCTGGCCATCGTCAACCTGTTTGAATGGAGAAAAACGATCATCCCAAATATCCCAAAATAACGCAATTCAAACGTATAACTAAATGCAGGGAAAGTGTGCGTGCCTGATGCTGATGAGAGGAGCAAGTGGAGGACATTGATGATATTTGGCAATATTTCAAGTATGTTCGCAAACGAGTAAGAGGACAAGTAGGAGGAAAACGTTGTTTTTTTTTTTTTTTTGTCCTTCACAGCTCGGCAAGCACACGTTTCATTCTTAATACTTTCTAACATGGACGCCATCATTTGGCCATGATTTCAAGTCGTAAACTTCTGTGTGCTGTTGATGCATGTTGCACACGTTTAACGTCGTTCTCACCTTGAAAGGCATCCGTCTGCCAGAAATTCCAAGTTAGTGTTGTTTGCTGCTTGTTAATTTGCACCAACGTTGGACAATGCACCCGTTCCGATTTAAAACACTTACTTTAGAATTCGAGTGGAATTAAATTTGTTTTGTTTTTTTACGAGCTTAGCAGTCCCCCCCCATCGCCCTCCCCACCCTTAGCTCACCCCAGCGTGATCAGGTTTGAACCGCTTCGAGCAGACAAAAGGGAGTTGCTTCCTCCTGCCTTGTTGTTGATGTCATACAACTTGTGTTTGTGGAACGTTTGCGTGGTCCAAAAAGTCTCGAGCAAAGTCGCACGCAACCGCTTCGGTTGGCAAAATTTGGGGGTGACGATGAGGATATGTCACGTCCCAAGGCAGTTTAGCAGTAGTTTGTTTGGTGATGATGATGATGATGATGATGAGCGCCTCACCTCGCTCTTCGCCGATGAGCGTATCCCGGTGGTGCAGGTACTCAACCTCCTCAGTGTAGTTCTGCGTGTAGGCTGTGTTGGCTCCTGCGTTGCGAGACTCGGTCCAGCGGACCTTGGCGACCCCGCGCGCAGTCACGTCCAGGCTGCGGACGCGCACATCCCCGGCCACCTCCACCACCACGCGACCGGACACCAGCTCCCCGCCGGAGAACACCGGCAGGTTGCTCTCATTCAGCGTGTCGAAGCACACGGCCAGCGCCCGAACTTTACCCAGAACCATGTCGACGAACCGAGACGACGAGCCAAAGTCCCCCGTGGAAGAGTGTTTCGCGGCCGGGCATTCAAGAGCGGAGCCGAGTGGCCCCTCGCTCCCGTGTGGCCCGGACGGAGCCCGCCCGCCGTCGGTGCTGGCTCATCGGGGTTGGGTCCCGCTCGTCTGATGCTCGCTCCGGTTCGGTTCGAGCGAGTGCTGCCGCGTGCGGGCTGGCACGCTCGTCTTAAAAGGCTCCGTGCGCAAAAATAACCTCACTGAGCATGTGCGTGCCACGCGAGAGCGCGTGGGGGCGCGTGCGCGCTCACGCAGGCAAAGGAGGACGGCTGCGACGCTACAACGACAAGCCGTCATCAGAGGACCGCTCGACTGTAACGTCACCCGACAAAGACGCGCTTTCCGTTATTCGCGTGCAAATAAATACCCGGAAGTGAACCTTGCAGTGCCTTCCAAATACGCGTACATGCACACGCGTGCATCAGAATTTAAGAACAGAACAGTATCTGGGGGTCATTGTTACTACAAAATAACTTATTGCTGCTCATTTCATTTTCCTGCATGAAAACATGTATTTCTTTTATTACATCATAATAATGTAATTTCTTGAAGAACATGCTAAACATCTCAATAATATCAAAATTGCAGTATTCAACACCCATATTGAATATCACGTGTTTTCAATATCGTGCAGCCCTAATATATTTGTACTTCAGCAACAATGCAACAAATTATTCCTGGCTACTGCTCAAAAAAGTGTCATCGTCTGCCAACAAAAGTCTTCGTTTCATCGTTTTGTCAGCATAAAAAGGCAACTTGGGGCTGCCTGACCTTCTGAGCTCACCAACTTCTTACCTCTTCATAAGGCACGCAAACTTGCTTCCATTGAAAACACATATGAATTGCTAGAGATGTGTTTGTCTATTATGTGTCTCAGTAGCGCGTGATATTTAAATGCCTGCGTGTATTCTTAGTCAAATGTGAAATTTCAATAACTCAACAAGCCTCATATTTACTTTAGCGGCAGGCTGGCCAAACAGCCGCAGGGTCCGTCTGTAGCTTCTCAGTGGGGCTTCAACACAGCCTTAACGCCAGCTTACAGATACCGCGGTGAGCGCAGTATTGTACATTGACCTCTCCACCATTTTAGATGTGGCAGGGCACAGCGATGGGTGGGAAAAGGACAACAACGTGCTTCATTCATTTGCTGACACCATTTTACACTCAAAGCCAGATCTCATGGGATGAAGGCTGAACAATGACTTCATTGTATTTGGCCTTTTTAACATGCTATGATTTGAGTTTGCTATCTTTGCAGCTAATAATAGGTCCTGCATGTGCATAATACTGTAAATGACTACAGTGACACCAGCTCCCAAAAAAAATAAGTGAAATTTGTGATTGCAGCAGTGTGTTAAATTGGTGGTCGTTAGTAGTACAGCAAGAGCTTTCAGTTTTTAAAGGATTGTTGAGCTCTGGCGTGTATGACATTAAACATTTTTTTTCCTTTTTACTTTCAGTACTGTACTTAATCACATTTCACAGTGTGCACTTTTTAAAAAAGAAACATTTACTTGAGTAGTGTAGCAGCGTTTTGATTCTGTACTCCTACTTCACTACTGCACTGTAAAAGGAAAAAAAATGGGCGAACTCAACATTTCAAGGCAACACACTTTGATACTTTTTTTAAGTTGGGCAAGTCCATAAAATCTTTTAAAGTTTTGCTGATGTGAAAATTGGCTTTCAACAAAGAAATTTGAGTTTACAGAACTAATTATCTCTTCTATCGTCTCCCAGTTGAAAGATAGGAGATAGGCCATAACAACTCGACAAATTCTTTTTGTAAATAACAACTTGCTTGCTTTTTTTGTGCTAACTAACATTGTTGCCATAGTGTCACTAATTTATATTTGAATGTAGTTCTAATTTAAGTGACCGTCTTAGCCCCCCCCCTCCCCACCACACACACACACACACACACACACACACCACCAGCCCAATCCTCAAAATACAGGTTTCTTTTTTCCAACGTAAATATCAGTACTGGTATCAGTCCGCGTTAGGTCTGACACATCCAATATGGCGGAGAGGACTGACGTATGGCATCAACGGGTCAATTGTTGCTATATACATATGTCTACGGGTCCCAGCGTTGAGTTGGGGAGATAAAGGGGTGAGGGGATGATAGGAGGCGTGGTTTACGCTTTTCAGCATTCGGTCAAAATGCTGCAAACTTTTGCTCGGCGCGGCCTCGAACGAAAAATCCCGTCACGGGCCGCGTCGTGAGCGGATGTGAAACACCGAGAGAGCCGACACTGGGCGTCCGTCCGTCCGCTGCATGTTCCGCAGGATCAAGCGGAGGGGAAACCCCGCTTTGGACCGAGTCTTCTCGTCCTCGCAGCCAGACCTCGTCTGCTCCTCCCGCCGGGATGAGGAGCCCTCGGCGCGGGCGCGCTGCGGCAAACAGCCCGCCGCCGATGGAGACCACCGCGCAGGAGTGGTTCCGACCCACCACAAGAGTTCTTCGCTCGGTTCTGCCGGTCTGGACCCTCTGGAGCGAACTTGTGGAGGTGGAGGAGAAGAGCAGGCGAGTAAAATAACTGGAGCACAATTGGATGAGTAATGTGGGCCAGTAAGGATGCTCATATTGTCGACTTCAGAACATCGAGCCCAGAAAATTAATCAATAAATCAATCTTACATTTAATGTACAGTACATGAAGTTGACTCATCTATCTATCTATCTATCTATCTATCTATCTATCTATCTATCTATCGAGAGAGAGAACACAAACAATACTTAGTGAAAATAAAATACAAATAAAAATGTAAAAATACTTTCCTAATATCATATGTTACTAATTTCACCAATGTCCCACTACTGTACACCAAATTTTCACCCCATTGTATGTAAACATATATACTTGGGCTGCAACCAGCAATTATTTTAATCATCGATTAATCTGTCGATCATTTTGTCAGATCAAAAAATCTTTTTTCAATTTGAATTCCCATTCTTTTATTTCTGAAAGGCTGATATTCCGAAGAGTTGGACAATTTGAAATCAAACTATGTCTCGAAACGATTGATCAAAAATGATGATTGATTCATGTGTGTGTAACATTTTGAAAGAATGATGAAATGTTTCTTATTTTAATATTTTGTGTGACCACATGAATGGGAACAGTTGTCGCACATTTTGGATTAGGTGTGTGTGTGTGTGTGTGTGTGTGTGTGTGTGTGTGTGTGTGTGTGTGTGTGTGTGGGGGTAGTGTGTG